ATCCATCCATCCATCCATCCATCCATCCTGTATCCATCCATCCATCCAATATCCTTCCTGTATCCATCCTGTATGTATTTTTAAATCCACTTGCTAATCTTTATTCCATATCTTTCGATAGAGTTCATTTTAACTCTTTTATGTTGTTGACAATCCATTAACCTTTCACCCATTCACAATGTCTACTTACTGTATGGTCTCCATCGCATAGCTTCGCCACTTTGTATTTCAACTAATTTGCAATTCGAAATAGCGCAAAGTTAATTCGGATGTACTTGGAGGCAACTTCCTAAAACTTATCTGATCTTAATTTATTAACGCTGAATAACCTTCCACCTTTACACCAGAGCACTGTGAATTGTAAAAAACAATAATTCGCTTTACAATGTTCTTTGTTCTCTCTTTCACAGCAAAACTCATGTAAAAAGGTACAGAAACACAGTTCAAAAGGTATATTGACCGAAAAAAGCAAACAAACCTAGGGACGACTGCACAGAAAATTACGAACGGCAGTGGGTGGGGGAGAGCAGGTAGCACGGAGAGGGGATCCGGGGAGAAGGGTTTATGCTCAGAAGAAAAAGTCACGGCAGATATTTCCGGAATGTTCAATGATTTGATTATTTTTCTCGTTTGTGCTGGTTACAGGTAAGAATTTTTTACTCCTTTTATTCTATCATGTCGGTTTGAGATTTTGCAAAATTTGGTACAGGCGATATTTTTGGTGGGACTTTAAACTGCTGTGTGGTGTTCTGGGTAGCCCGAATTCCTAGCAGGTGAACTGTACTGTCCAATGAAAGAGGCCTCTTCATTGAAGGTTCCTGAAATCACCAAAAAAGTACGACTCTGTAACAAATATGCATTTTGACTTAATTATTTCAGTCATCAAAGACTGGAAATAGGTTTTTTCTTTTTAAAAAACCAAAAATTTACGGTTGGTTAATTTACTGGTGTGCAATGTTTTAATTGGTCGAGCAGCAGCCAATCAAAAAAACAGACTGAAGTGCGAAATCTAATTGGACAGTTAATTCAGAAATAATCGACCATTTTGAGCAACGATCAACTGGCAGTGTCACTTTCTGATGCTTTCTGAAAAGTAAGTCACATTGACGAGGTAGAAACAGGTCATATTTGGCGCTGCCGCGGCAGTATTGTGGCTGTTTGTCTCGGCTCCTTGTTTGAGATGAAATCGACACGAGTTTTCGCTTGCTATGTAACAAATGGTTTTCACTGTTTGACAGCTGCCAAGATGCTCAAAAAAGGACAAGAAGTGTACAACCAGTTTTCAGAGTCTCTTTACTACGTCTAAGCGCCTTCTTGGTGACCGCATCTCCCTTTTCCTCATTCCGCGTGGTCTTAGATGCAACCGACTTCTGTCGCGTCAGTTCGGTCATCTTTGAAGCTGAACAAGTACAAACCCAGACATACACAATCATACCTATTAACATTGCCCAATCCATAGCAAGGACTAACCCTTCTTTATTAGTGCATACAAATTTTATAGCTGTCAAGTCAGTCGGCTTGTCAGGTAGGCGAGGTCACTTGCCACACCCAGACAGGGACAATTGCCACTCCTCCTGTCTTTTCAGTTGTCAGGGTAAATGCAACAATAACTTGTTAGATTAGTAGCTGCGAGTTGGAAAAAAGCGCAAGTGTTAGACACCTTTAAGGCGTTGGTTCTAGCGGGTTTAAAGGGTTAGCCAATCATAAGACGGGTCACAGCTTTAGCAGAGCGAAAATTTATCTCACAAAACAATTCACACATTTAGTAAAAAGTTATTCTTTTTTAGACATGAAAAAGTATAAAGTAGGAGTTAATGAGCGACACTAAGCTTACGTGGTGAGCGAATCAATCTTGACCGAGCTAGGAAAACCAGATCAAATTATTAGTAGCATGCAAAGCGTTGTGAGTAGTATGACCGACACACAAACACACACACACACGACCCACACAAGTTTAGAAAGAATAAATGAGAAGGTTGTAGAATTGTCACATTACAGACGGACTTACGCCTTGGTACTGGATAATGGGAGGGTTCTAAGATGAAGAGATCGTGGGAGAGACTACTTAATTCACTTCACGCGAACGTGGTTAGGGTGACTGACAACTTACGTCGTGATTGCTCGCTAAGGGGTAGTGACACTATCGACAACACAAATCAAGAGAGAGAGAGGGAGTTGTTAACTGTCAAATGCCTGATTTAGCTCAAAGGCATGAAACCATGGCGTTCAGTGGCCGGATATCACAATACGCTGGCAACCAGGACATGACTTACTCTCCGACCCAAAATATAACCTTACACCTAATTTTGTTGTAATAAATTCGAGCAATCGGTTTGTGTGGTTGTCGAAAATCGGTGGAGGTCAAATGCTAACCTAAGCTCAAAGCGTGATAATAAGATTAGATAAGAAAATCCGGGTGTCACAGATGTGTGACGCGATAGTTTACAGACTCGCAATGAGTCATCTGGTCCCCCCTCCAATGCTACAAGACAAACCCCCTGACAAAGGATCCAAAAATCACCTTCCTGTAGACTCCAAAGGCTATGTTGATGTTTCAATTGTTAAAACGTGTCTACCGATGCTTAAGCATCCACACCACGTTGGAACACGGCCCTATCTGGTTCAAGTAGTCAAGGAGGATCCGAATCACCCTTAAGTAAATTATTTTTAATTCATCCAGTTAATACTCTGTATCTTGGCATGTATGCGCGACAGACAATAGGGTGAAAACCCTCATTCTCAAGCCATCAATCCCACTCGAATACAATAGCCAAGACAACAAGGGCGTTGGCAACTACAATAGGCACTGCACACGATGAAACTTGAATCTTATTTCATTCTTTTTTT